TTTAAAAATATTAATTTAATAAAAAAAAAAAAAAAAAAAACCAAAACCAACAACCCAACTCCTTTTTATTACTGACTTAACTAATCAGGGACTTGATTCAAGGCCAGGTTGGACGGGGCTTTGAGCAACCTGATGTAGTGGAGGGTGTTCCTGCCCATGGCAGTGGGGTTGGAATTGGATGAGCTTCAAGGTCCCTTCAAGTCCAAACCATTCTGTGATTCTATGATCATTGTGAAATCCAGGTTCAGTAAAGAATTACTTTCATACTGTAAGCACTGAACTGCTGGTTCACTGAACCCAAATAGTTCTACTCATACATTCAATGGAAACAGTATTCTGCATCTAATATTACATTGCCTTTAGGAGCTGGTGAAGGCAAATGACCTCAGTTATTTTCTTACTCAACGAAAAACTAACAACAACAAACAAAAACAACAAACAGAAAACCAACAAAAAAAACCACAACCCCTCACCCAAAACACACTTGGTAGGGGGGTTGTAATAGTTCAAGTTTAAAAAACTATATGAAAGACTGAATCTCACGCAATAAAAATTAAATTATTTAATACAACAGTAGATTATTTTTTAAAAATACTTGATCTCATATTTGAAAAGAATTCAGAAGAATACATTTCATCTTTCTACACCGTCAGGAAATGACTTGATGACAGTACAATAATGAAAATGTTCTCTTCTCCATTTCACAATTTAAAAACCACTGTGAAGTTATTGATAACAGAAAAATCTCCTCTGTTAGGTCAAGGGCAACATTTATTCACCTTACTTAAAGATCATTAAAATACATTCTTAATCATAACATGTAGTTCATTACAAATAAAATTGCCTTTGGCTCAATAAAACTAATTAAATGTAAAAGGTATTGTTTACTGTTGTATGGATCTTCTGATATAAATCAGCAAGTCACCATTTATTGAAAATTACAGTGACCTCATTGCTGTTAATAAATTTAGTTGATCACACACAAGCTAGAGAAGAATGCCTGAGAGCACACGTTTGGTTAGAAGGACTGCCCCACCTTTAAGTATGAAACTGCAAGAAACCTAATCCAGGTGTTACAATATTTGCTGCTCAGCTGACATTAAATCACTTGTTGAAATTTTAATTCTTTGATCACATTAAGTGCTTTAGAAAGACAACAAAATCTGTACTGATCATCTTGGTGGTGTCATCTGTTCTTTAAGAAAAGCTCTGAAGGTCTGCAGGTTTGTTTCTTCTGGGTGTCACAGTGGATAGGGTTACCGTACTGCTCTGTTGACATAACTGACAGCTAGTGCCAATGCAAGATACTCACTGACTTAACATCAAATAGCTAAACAAATCAAAACGAATGATGTTTATGGAGAGCGTATTCTTTCAAACACAACCAAATTGTTTATAGTCTATTTTATAATCAACTTGCACGCATTCTGTTAAATCATTACAAATATATTTTAATATGCAAGTATGAATTGTAAGCCTTGGCTTTGAAAACACACTGCAAAGCACATGGACAAGACACTGTAACAAGTGTTGCTTTATGTGTGGTGAATCCCTAGAAGAC